ATGCCTAGCAAGGGAGCAGAAGCTACAGGAGACCACTGCGTGGTGGTGTGGACGTCAGGGGGACAGTTTGCCTAGCTTGTCCATGCTGCATGCTTGGGTCCATGCTCGGGGGTAACTGAGCACTCAGTTTTCTCCCAAGGCTTTAATTCATCTTTATGCCATCCCCCAAAAATCTGCAACCCCAGTAAAATCATCATAACTCTTCCTTATGCTACAAAATGAGCAGGGTTTCTGAATTTGGCCAGTATTTCATAACTTATGTGACATTTTTTGAAATGAGCAATAATTCGTTAACAACAAATTAAGATAACATGTTTGGAGCACAGAAGGAAAAGAGTGACCTAGTCAAGTTCCTTCTGAATGAAAGTCACAAGTGGTTCTAGAGCATCCTCTCAGGACAAAAAAAAAAAAATGAGAAGAGTTTTTACAAATATTAGAGGCATGGAATTCGTTAACTCTTTAAGCTGAGGTAATACCACTAAGGTGACCTTGAGGGTCAGCTCATATAAGGAAACTAACTATACTGCTTGAATTAATCTCACAGAAATACATTCTTCACAGATCTCCCGTCACTATTAACCCATGCAATTTTACCAGTAAAGGAGAAAAAAGAAAAAAAAAAAACAATACAAGGTATTCTCAGCACTACATTTGGCCTCAGAACTTTTGGCCTCCTCTTTAAGGGCAAAGCAGACTCACTTGAGGTATCCTGTCCTAACCACTGCCTAACAGGCTGCTCCTGCCAGAGAAGGCATTTTGGTTTTCTGTATTCTTATAGAATAGCTTTATTTTGTAACCTGTTCCTAAAAGACCAACTCAGATTCACACAGCTTGTTTACACTCTTTACATCAACAGCTGGAAAACACCGTAAAGAAGCATGCGTCATCCCACTTAGGTATACAGGGAAAGCACATCCTACAATATAGTCATACAATGAGAATATTAATCTTGTAGGTCCACTTCAGTCAATGGATCCTTTCATATATTCTACCCATTACCACAGGAACATTCTCTGGTAACACTGGTTGAGCAGAAAGGGAAGAAATACTGCTGTGTAACATGACAAGACATCTTGTAGTACGCTACTGTATCACTTTTACTAGCTGTTTCTTGGGGCCTAAGTGGTTGGGCATGAAGGACAGAAGGTTAATACTAACCTTCCTGTTTTCATGCACTCTTGTTAGTGAGAAGAGGCGTGCATTTATCCTAGCTGGGAAATTCATCCCACTTCAGATTTAAACAGCTCTCACAATGAATCAGACCTCAACAGCAATTAGGTAATAATCACTTTTGCACCAACAGAATAACTTTGCAGGTAGAAAAGGGCTGTTAATGTTTCGAGCCAAGAAACTAATAAAGAATTCAGAGCCGAAATGTGGCGGGGAAAAAAATGGTTCTGCTTTTACTCTTCACTGTGAAATATATAGCATAAAATCACCAAATTCTTTTCAGAAGAGATGGCTGTTTGCTTGTTAGCCTCTAGAAAGTGAGGATAATCACGCTAGCAACAAGCCTAACTTTCAGCCGATTTGGCTTGATTTTTCCTCATTTCATCTCTGAGCTTCAGACTCTCCATTTGCCAACACTTTCCTGTCTCTTACTTTGCATTATGTGGACCGTCCTGTCAGTATTTCTGAAGCAGTCACAGACTGCAGAGTTTTCTGGCTTTGAAGAAGTGCAGAGTATTTGCAGGTCTGCCGTACACATCACATAACGTGTCTGGAAGAATCAGCACGAGACAGACTCAAACGAATTCCACATTTTGGTCCCGGTTTTGCCACTGAACTGCCGCGCCATCTGTAACTAACTCTCATGCGTGCAACTTTCAGCCCTCAACACAGGCGCTCACATGTCGTGCTAAGAAGTCATAGCTGCAAGCATGCACACGCTGCTACAACTCGAGTGCTTGCATCCTGCAGATATTGGACTCTCCAGCTACTTGTGTGATTCCCAGAATTTATCCACACACATGTGACAGATAAACGGACATCGGTTCAACACTTGTGCATAAGTATCCCCATCGGTAGTTAAACCTCAGTCAACACGATTAATAAAAATATCTCTATATGTCCCTCTGCAAATGATGAATGCTCTAATTATGTCTCATATGCAAGACAAGCAGGCAGATGACAAAAAAAAACCCCAACTTTTCTTGTTTTAAGTGAAATACGTTGCTTTTCCAGAACACAGAGAATCTCCACTCATCTCCTTCATTCATTACAAGCTTCATTTACTTGTTTGTTTTCAGAAACTGTCTTCCCTAAACATATCTATGGTATTTCAAAAATGGAATATATATAGCAAGTGGTTATCCTACATGCATATTTTGACATGAGGAGCCGCTAAATACTTGAAAAGTAGTTACTGAGAACGAATAGTAAAAGCCTCTCAGGTTTTTGTTATTTATTTTACAAATTTGCTGATGCCAGTTCTCTGACAAAAGTTAGAATCTTTCTAATTTTTTCCACTGTACTGCAAATGTGAATATGGAATGTTAAAAAAAAAAAAAAAAAGACAGAAATACATGCGAAAAAGCAAAGCAGACTCAAACACAATTCTTCAGAGATCTTACAAGATCAAAATGATGCCATAAAGTCCAGCAACATAAAAATGTGTGAATAAGAGCGAGCAGAAATAGCAGTAAAAACATAGGTAAGGTAAAATAATACTATACATTAGAATTCACATGCACACGTACTTCAAATACATTGGAAGAGATGAGAAATCCGGAAAGCTCCAAGTTAACTATCTGGAGCACTCTGAACTAAGGTGCCACTTACCAGCACATGTCATGAGTATGAAATAGTTTAACCTTGCCATCTCAAAGGAAGCAGTAATCTTACACGTCTTTTAAGTTTAAAGGCTTCAGAACAATGAAGACAAATTCAACACTACAGCTGAGAATGATATCTTCCTTGCTTCCACAGGTGTTTTGCATGTTTACTACTTGTTGTTCAGGTGTTTTGCATATTTAATTCTTACACAGTACACACAGAAATCCAAAACTCTACCAAAAAAAAAAAATCCACCCCTATACTATACCAACATCCTGCCAAATTGTATCTTCAGATACATGCCTTTGACCTCATTTATTTAAATCACAGCTTCACCATGCATTTGAGAATATTATACAGCCAACTATGAAATGATTCTGTTTAGCAGATTAAACACATAGATGAGAGAAATGAGGTTAGAGAGGCACAGAAAGAAATTTTACAGAAAGCTGGTCTGAGGAGCAAAAGGAAGCTCTTCGTAGGGCTGAAAGGACTCACCTCTTGGCTAATCGATTTGTCAGTCTGCAGTTCCCCTTGCTAGAGGGCCTTCTCTTCTTGACGTTACCTTCCAAGAACTACTCTCCATCTAGCAAATTTATAATTTCCTAACATGCAGAGAGTGCCTCTCTAATCTATCGCATGGGCTCAGGCAGCAAAAGCAGCTGTGTTTGTTCTGTTGCCTCATGTTTCATGCACCTGCACGGAAGCCAGGGATTTGATTTGCCCTTCCAAAATTTAAAGCAGCATAGACCAGACATGTTGTAATTCCCACTAATTTCTTCAAAAAGCTCTTTCTTTCCTCACCGCTACCACTCACTAAGGCACTGCCAACATCTCCAAAATTATTTGAGTCAAGATGTTTAAATTTTTTCCAAGGAGGAAAAAAGGGACAGTCTGCTACTAGGTAAATAAAAACACTAAGCACTGATTTTATTTAAAACAGAAAAAAAGAACAAATACTGGATACTGATACTCTGTATCATAGCTGATAAAGAGACTTGTTACTGTCTTCCGAATTCTGAGTAGTCCTTGCAGTACATAGAGAGCAGCTCTTCTCACAGTTTTTTGTACAAAAAAGTTTCTCTATATACAGTGTAGCTGTTGCCTACCTTTAAAAAGAAATGCGTAAACTGTTTTCCCAGTCACTGAAAGTGCATATACAGGACCACTCAAATTTTTGTTTGTAGAGAACTGACTAAATACCATAAGATTTATAGCTGCAATTTACTGAAGAGCTTTATGGACTGCTATTTAAAGCAGTCCTGCTCACTTACATACACTAAAAAGTCTTTTTATGAAAGCGGGATCATTTAAGCCCACTCCATGTATGTCTTTTTTTATTCTTTCATCCTGTCTTCCAATTCTTGCCGTATATTTTAACAGCTTGTCAAAAATGCCATCTCCCTTCCATCACCAGTAGTATTAGAAAAAGAATCTAGGGAAATATTTTTTTACAAAGTAGTTCACAAAATTCCTGCGATGGGCAAAGGATTAAATATCACAGCCTGACATACAAGGGCATTAAAAAAACCCCCACAATGCAAAGGCAGGAAAGAATGTGGTATATGTGGATTCATCAATTTAGTTTTTAATAAGTACATCATAGCTACGAACAACAGCAAGCTCTAGAAAACACTGAGAAACAAAAAGGAGAATAATGCCCCATTGCATTCGTTCCTGTGATGGAATAATACATCAACAGAAGTACCTCAGCTACACTCTTCTAAGAAATAGGTCTCTTCTGTATCATAGGAAAGCCATTTCAGTAAAGTACCTGGCCCACAGAAGTACTTCAGGAAGGACTGCAGATCATCATCTCTATATTCGAGCCTCCCTACACCTTCACACTTACCTTTCTCACAAACGTCAGCAGAATTCCCACTTCCTAAATTAATGCGTCTTACAAAGATGTTGTTCTCTAAAAAACATTTTAGAAGGTAGGTGCTATTGTCTGAAAAACGGTATTTTAAAAATTGTAATGACAGCACGACCATGGTGTGCCAAGGCACAACTGCCACAATGAAGTATGCCCACAGATCGGTAATCTGAGTGGTCCAGCACCACTTGTAGTCTTTGATCCATATTTAGGAATGCAAAAAGGGCCCTTGTGATATTCACCATCACGAAACTGAACTTTGCAATGAAACTCGTTCGTCAACCATTCATTTAATACTATGTTTCTGACTAGGTTGTTAAGGGGACAGGCCTTTGAATATTTTGTTTACCTTCACAATACGCAGAGTCCCCTTGGACAGAGAGATAACCATTCTTGCATTCGCAAGTAGCTTTTGTGTTCCAGTTTTTGCACTCTGAATTTTCACCACATCTGTGTCCCTCTGCACAGAAGTTATGGCCTGAAATACAAGGAACATGCAACCTGGTATTAAAACATGTTTATTTCAGATATTCAGGTTTAATATTTACGTTGACCGTATTGCTCTGAAAAACTTTGGCATGCCACGTTCCAGAAATTCTCTCTATAAACCCATCTGGTGCATGCAGGCTTGTTGGATTCCTCCATCAGTTCTTTCTCAGTTAAACCATTTAGTTCAAAAATGTATTTGTATGACTAGTTTTAGGAGAAAAGGAGAAAAGACGACTTCAAAGCAAGAAGCCATGACAATACATTAGTCTTCTACTGAACCCACGTAGGATAAAATGCCACCTTATCTCTGATTGCCGAGAAGCGTAATACTAACTCACACCAAAAGGATAATAAAGTGTAATATCAAAAAAAAAAAATCCATCACAGTTCTCTTATTACGCATAATCAAGCATGCTTTTAGAAGCGCAAAAATGAGACGTTGCATTACAACACAAGACTATACTGGTAGTCACAACAACCTCATGCGCTGCCTTGCAAGTCTGTCACCAAAAACTAGCTAGATTGCTTCTACAGTTTGTAATTACTCGGTGCATCATGTTTCGTAGGGGAGAATTTTTATTAATCTCTCCTTTTTCCTTGACGCAAATTCTGAGTAGCTTCTTTGTGAACAGTTTCTTTTATTCCATGCAAAGTCATTTCTACAAACATGATGAATTTTGCCACTTTCTTCTATAAAGGCACAACTGCGTCAAGTTCTTCCTTCCTGGCTTTCAATATTTCTCAAAGATCTGTCAAAATCTCTCCCTGCTGAAGACTAAAGTAACCGCAACTTTATCTCTTTAAAGGCACTCCACTGGAAGTACCGTAAGAGATAACTAAATACCTTACCGAATTTGACAACAGGAATTTTTTTCCCCCGTTGGTGCATTTTTGATGGAATTCTCTCTATTGATATCCACGAGTCAATTTCTATTTGCCTGAGATATATAAACAGTCATTTCGGTAATTCTTATTTTTTCTGCATTTTCTCTCCTGGAAGGAGGGGAACCAGAAACCCCGATGTACCGTCAGCTACTTGTATTCATATAAGCGCAAGCTGGAATACAAGAATAGTCTCTGCCAATTCTGCCTGGTCATAAAGGAGTAAACTAAAAGTTCTAGTTCACTGATCCTAAACTTTCCTTACGTCCCCCTAAAGACAGCTAAGAAAAAGACAACCTGGACTTCTAAGATCTAAATGCCAGATTCAGATCTTCGTTCATATCCCTCGCTTTAATATTCTTCAAGGAAATGTGGAAGAAGTTTTCATCTACAGTAAGCAAATTTTCATAAGGCTATCCTGAAGCTGTTGTTCACTGAGGGTTTTTTTAATTTCTTTTTAAACACGCACTTCGGTCATCTACTAATTTAAGACTCGGGTGTTGTCATTTTAGTGCACTCCAACTTTATGAGTCTGATCACCCAACGTTGCGTTGTGAGGTCATTTTTAAAGAAATGTAACACTTGTTAGCAAGGAGGACACTTTCTCTGTGTCAATATCCAACTCTACACTTAAACTTCAGATTAATTTTATTAACCACCAAGGTATCTTCCTCGTGCTCACTCAGCTCATTCTTTCATTGCAATACAACTTGTGAAAAAGAACCAACTCCGTTAATGAAAACTGCAGATATTCCTTCTAGTTTTCATTCATTTCACAGTCTGGTAAAAACCACTCAAGTATTCCAGATACAGCCTTGTCAAGCCTGGGTACATTTTATACTGGTAAAAAAGGGCACAGTTACACTGCCTTTAGCCATTTACGCAATCACAGTATTTGACTTCTCATTTTTGCCTTCATAATTATAATCAAAACTGAACACTGGAACCCATCTCCCCAAACTTATCCATTCAGCATCTAATTTATACTTGCCAAGCGGGATTACTATTCTGTTGGCATTCTAGATAATATCCAAGAGACAACAATTTTTATAACATTTTCTTTGTCATTGTTTCCACTAAGACTATGACATCCTAGTCTATTTCCTGCTTCTTTAGAATAAAAATTCTCCTTTGAACTCATACACAGTATTAGTTTTACATTTTATTATTACTGGCAGATTGGTTCTGAGTAGTACTATGTAACATTTCAGTGTGTTAAGCTAGGCACTATAAAAATACCACGTTTTAATTTAGTATGGATTGTTACTACTGTCTTAGGATATCGTGTTTATATTTATTCATTTAATTACATTTACCTCGCATCTAAACCCGTAAAAAATATTTCATCTGTCTCAGCATGTTTTAGTTACAATAGTCCTTGTACAACTTTCTGCACCAAAAAACTTTGTTTCTAGGCTCTTTTTATCCCAGTGAGTCAACATTTCACCTTGTGATCAGTTCATGGCAAATTTAGCACTCGCAATTGGCCACAAGGGATGACTTCCCAGGGCTAACTTTCATCACAAGTCCCGAGTCCCAGATCAGCCACTCTTCTCTAACAGCACTTTCTCCCAAGTACAAGCTGCTGATTGGCATTCAATGTCACATCATGGCCCTAATTCTTCTTCACTGTTTATTTGCCACCTCTGAAATTCGTCAGTAGATATGATGACTACCCTAACTATCCATTCTGTACCACTAGAGCTGTCACCTTTTTTAAAAAATTCTCTGGAAAAAACTGTGTTGCTTTTGTTCCCTTGTTATCAATTCAAATATGAACTGTCTCCATTCAGAATCGGACTCTTACTTATGTTTTCAAGCTTGAAGGCTGTTAAAAGAACGTAGAAAAAAAAAAGTAACGCTCCAGTTCTCTAACTTGTGTAGAGGCTCTAAAGAACTTTTCATTGTTCTCCTCTCATTAGGCATACAATGATAGAACACCCACATCTCTAGATTGCCTTGGCCTTTATTATTATAAGACCTGTGAAACACTGTTTCCTACCTTTTAAAAATGCTGACTGAAAGTGACTCAACTTCAATTTCCCATAGCATTTCAGAAAACTTGTTCAATAAGTCTGTAAGTGGAAAGTGGAAGCCATTCCTGTTAAGAGCACACATGGTGCTATAACCCTGTATGTTACCAAGCTTTTACAAAACGAGTGTGATGTAAGGTTAACCAGCAAGGGGGGGGGGGGGGGGGGGGGGAAAGTTGGGGGTATGG